CTTACTGGAATGACCCCAGAAACAGCAGGACTCATGACTGTAAGAAGTTACTTGGAAAGAGTCAACGTTTGGATCAATAGAAAATGTTTTTAAATGACACAATCCAGGTTTGACACACAAGTGAAACCCAAATTCTAACAGCATCCTACATTCTTTTGGGCAGATCAGCATGACATTTAAAGGCAAGAAGTTGATTTACAAGATACATATAAAAATGCACGTGTTCACTCCAACAGCACAAAAATAAGACTTGTGATGATTTCAACTTCAAATGAAGTAATCAGTAAGAATGTCAAGGAAGCCCAGCTTCCCTTGCTCTGTGGCAATTAATCCCTTCAAATAGTGTGACCAGGTAATCCTTGTCCATAATTTTTTAATGGAACATAAGGAGAGCTTCCTGGCTCAAGCCATAGAACTGGACTGAAGTTACTGCAGGCTGCTTCACTACTGTTAAAGGGCAAAAAAGAAATTGCAAATCCAATGATGTAGCCAGTGGATCAAGGAGCTCCTGTGCATAAGCCCTCATCCCTCTCCAAGATCAGCTACTGGAGAACAGCAAAGGCACCACCTCACTTAGGTACCGAAGAGAGAGATCTCTTTCAAAACAGATGGATACAAATCACATCCTCAGGCTTCCACCATTGCCTGGACTGGGTGGTGTTTCACTCACAGAGTATCTTGACAAATGAGAAATTACCTTATTTTAAAACTAATTATTTGTGCTAATACATCTGCTAAGTGGAACACAGCAACTGGCTACACATAAATACACACACATACATGCTGTATCTTCCACAGTGTTTTCTATTCATTTTCACTAATGCTCAAGCATACACTACATACATAATGTGAACTGAGCAAGTATCAAAAGTAGGTTTAGTCTTTAGCCCAGAAGCAAACAGTAAGAAAAAAGTGAGAACTCACATTTGTCTTCTGAGATATATTTTTTTTATTCCAGGTAAAAATATTTTATAAGTACAGTATTTACAAGTACAAATTTCAAACAAGAACCAAATCATGGTCAACTGCCCCATTGTGGATAATTAAGTTTCTGAAGTCAGGAAGACTTGCATTAAACATTATCAATCACTTTCTAAGGGTAAAGAACTCCTAGAATAAATTGGCTGATGGGGCTGTGGATTCTTTTAGCATATGTGTAGGAAGAATGATGCAGTTCTGGGGAGAAGAATGAACCACAGACCCCTGGAGGTCCCAGGTAGCCCAATTATTGTATTCATTTTGAGAAGACAGAAAGTGTATTAATAAACAAGGGCTTTATAGTTAAAGGACTGAATTTTTTAAAATCACACTAAAGAAACCTATGCAGGTCACTTAATTCTGAGCGATGAGAGGTGCTTTGTGTTTGGTTTGGGTTTTTTTGGGGTTTTTTTGAGACATGTTGAAACAATTAATTTGAACAAAGTGCAATAGCTCTTAGTATTAATACTAAACTGTTTACATGGCACCACTTCAGAGCAACCAGTTATTTCAACCCTTGAGAAAAACAGCTCTTCTCATGCAAGTTTCTGTTCCTGCAATCTTAACTAGTGCACTACTACACCACCTGAAACAGCCTAAAGTGGTGAAACGTTCTGCATGTGTCACACTGAATAGCCTGTATGTCTGTAAAAAGCATGAATATTGAATTATTTTGAACCTGGAAGTGTCAAGACACTTTAATAGCCTTTGTCAAGGTGCTATGCATGAATATCCAGCTTAAAATTACTTCTTCATCAAAAGACTATTAATTTATTACACTAATTAAATAGTTAAGTGAAAGTGCATATATAAATACTACCTGGCAGCTTCTTAACCAGATGGTTCAGATATTTGGTATTACAGAACTGCAAAAGCAAGGCTAATCAGCTGTAACTGGAAAGGGATTTCCATGTTCCCTGTCTCAAGAAGCCCTCAGACTGCTGGATTTCATCCAAGCAGAAATACCATCATGCATTTGTCCTGTTTTTAGGCTTTCTCTTAATACCACTAATAGCAGCTGCTGGAACACAAGACAGGGGAAAATAGAGCTTCTTCACCCAGAGAACACATTCTTGTCTCACCGTGGCCTCACGTTTTCAGCTAGTCACAGCTAATAAAAGAATCAGGTGCTTTGCACACCCTTATTTCACAATTATAATCTTTGTTTCACAATTATAAAACCTGCAAGTTGGCCTGAGCAATTTAAACATCTGAACTATCCCCCTGCTCTTGGCTACTTGTTAAATACACTGCACACAGAGGACACACTTGCAGGGAGGGTGATAATACAGTGGCTTTTGCAATTACAATTCAGAAATTTTAATTAAAAAATACATTTAGCCTTGTGATAGTTACCAGAAGAGGTCATTTGTGCACATACATATATATGCATATGTTGTACAGCACAAAGAGCTCACACTTCTGTGCTTGATTTTCAGCTTGCATAATAACAGTGCCTTTCCATTATAGGCAACTATCTGCCATGCTGAATTTTCCCCATTTGCCCACAATATATTTCTGTGTCATTTCTGATTGATCTTAAATCCTTGTCCTTAACTTGTCCTTAATTATATCCTAGAAGCTGGCTGGTTCCTTTTATTCACACAGGACTTGAATGATTTAGGCCAATGTACAAGGTGTTGCAAGGGGCAGAGGAAATAATCCAAGACAGTCGCTGGTTTTATAATTTCTTGCCCTCACACAGGCAGAACTACCATTCCTCTTCCAGTGGAGCAGCAAAGGAAAACCTTCACGAACAGAATACACTTAGTGAACTCTTATGTTCACACAAATCTAATAGGCTGAGTCTTAGTTAATTTTTCTAACAGCACCAAGGTTTCAACACACGCTGCAAGAATGGAAATCTAACATTTCCAAGAAGTGATACACTTGTGACAAAACAGTTTTAAGGCACATATACCAAATGAAATTACTACTATGGCCAGTTCC